ATGCTACTAAAAGTACCACACTGAAAACTGGATCACCCTATCATCCAGTCTCACTTTGGAGCCCTGGTGGCACAATGGCTAAAAGCTCAGCTGCTAACCACAGGGTCAGCAGTTCGAATCCACCAACCACTGCTTGGAAACCCTACAGGACAGTTCTACTCTGTCCTATAGGGTCAATATGAGTTGGAATCGACTACACAGCAACAGGTTTTTTTCATCCTCTTTAATCAAATTTCAATATTTCTAAATGTTGTGCTTCTACTGCTATTTCTTGATTAAGCAAACATTTATTGACTTCCTGCTATAGGAATGGGGATTCAGCTCTCATACTTTCAGCACTACCCCTTGTTCCTGTCTTCCTTGCTCTCACCTTCTCAAAAGAGTTACATCACAATCTTTGTTTTCCTTGCTCCCATCCTCCCAAGTAGTTTATCACAATTTTGTGTTAACTAAATGGTCAATTTATACACTATTGTGACTATTGTTTACTGCTGGTTCAAGTATTGGACTATGATTACATTGTTTTCCTTACACGTTTTATTTTTCCTGCAATTAGTAATTGTTTTCTTTTTTCACTTCCTTAACTTTCCATACACTTATAATTTTTTTAAAAGTTCTGATAGATCTATCAAATGCCATATTGATTATAATATCCAAACTTCGAAAGCATCAATAAACTTTTAAGTTCTATCTTACCAAGTATACTGCCTTACTTCATTTTGCAGCTCCAGTCGAGACTATTGCAAAGTTGTCATATAGGGACTATTGTTTACCTCTCCTCTTGGTCAGATCTTCTGCTGTATACTGATCTGATAGTTTCCTCTTTCTTAATTTATTCCCTCGTTTTTCTAAGGTGCATTCTGCAGTAGTGTTCTAAGAAAGAGTGCATGGAAAGTAAGTATTTTGAATCCCTGAAGACCTGAAAATGTCTATATTCTACCTTCATATTTGTTGGCAATTTAGCTGGGTATAAAATTCTAGGTTGGAAATAATTTTCTCAGAGTTTTGTAATTCCACAGTCTTTGAAGCTCCATGGCCTTTTAGTTTCCAAGTTGCTATTGGGAAATCTAATCTTTCTCTCTTCTGTTAAATTTCTTACCATACTTTCACTTGCTTTCTGTCTTCCAAATATACGATGAACTCTTTTCGACTTTTGCCACTCCTCCCTAGTAATCTTTTTTTTTTTTTTTTTGAGTTTATGTCTTTTTTTATTCCTTTACTGTAATTTTAGTATTGTTTTAGGGTGAATAAGTAGAAAACTCATGTAGCCAGTCCACTGTGTTTATCCAAAGTCCAGTGATATCTTTAAGTCTCCAAGTATTTAAGTCCATGCAATCCCTTTGCATATAGTATGACACTAATACTACTGGGAACCCTGAGAGTAGGTAGTATTATTCCCACTTGATGAGATAGCTGAGGCTCTAGGAATATTCATAGTTTGCTCAAATTTAAAAAGCCAGCATGAGACAGATTCAAATTTAAAGCCATGTTTTTCCCACTCTGCTCAAGCATAAGGGTCACATGCAATGATGCTTTTGTGATAGAGGTCACCAGTAATAAAACAAATCAGACCATCAGTGGCTCCTCCTTATCTGGCTGCTGCTAAACTAACACCACTACTCTGATGTGAATTATTCCTTTGAACTATTCTCTGAGCCACAGAATGTAAAGCTTTCCTCTTCAATCACTCTTTTATTCCACAGCGGAAGTTTGGAACACCTAAAACCAAATAATCTCTGGGTGATCTGACTCATGCAAAATGGTGTAGTGTATTAGAACAGACAAGGAAAACTAAAATTATGATGTTTGGGGTCTGAAGGAAAATATGCCTTAGTATGTAATGATGCTATTTCAGAGTCCAGCACAAAATGAAATAATTTTCCCCTTTGAAGCTTTTACTTACATTCCCACAAATAACACTCTCTAATGTGAAAACAAAAAACAAGTGATTGCTTTCAAAGTCCAGTCTTTTGAAGGCACTGCAGAGCTTTTCAGCTAAGTAGTTATTCTGAAAAAGGAAAAGGGACTTTCCAACTACTGTTTATGAACAAGCACACATACTCAATAATGTATGGTGTGTTTACGTGTCACTTCGACTTTCTGTCTGGTTATAGCAGCAGACTCGTTTTGTATTAAATGATTCCTTCCTGGAGGGGGTTTTCATGTAATATTTCCTGAAGAGTTTCCACTTATTTTTCCATTCAAGAGTTTGTTGCTTTTCACAGTTGAATGTCAGGTCTTTGTACTCCTTTATTTTATCATATAATTAGCCCCAACTGCATCTCCATGTGGATTAAATAATCCAAATAACGGGACTAAATGATTGGGTCAAGCAATGAAAGGGCAAGAGTAGGCAGGACCTCCTGTGACCTGGGTCAAGTCATTCTTCCACTCACACCCTCAGGATTCTCTTCTGTAAAACTGAATGATTGAAACCGACGATCTTCAAGTCCCCTTTCAACTCCTGAACACTATTTCTGTACTACTGATGAATCAACATCAGTGAATTCTCTGAAACAGTCGCCACTGTTTCAATACATGTGTCACTATCAAATAATTTGTTCATTCATTCATTCATTTAATACACATTTATTGCTATTACATAACTAATACATATTAATGTGCTCAGAGCTCATTTTAATGGCAAATGGACAGACACTGTTCTTAGCATCATTGAGTTCAAAGTCCAGAAAGAGAGGCCGACAGAAAACAAACTCTCAAATAAACAATCATTGTGATCAATGTTGTGAAAGATAACAACAGAGTACTGTGAGAAAGAATAATAGGAAAAGGATAATTTAACAGACGGGGGAGTGTATCCCAAAAAGCTTCATTAAAGAAATGACAGGAGACCCGCAGGGTAGGGAGTAGCTATCCAGGTAAGAGTGATAGAAACAGCATTCTTGGCACAGGGAGCAGCATGCATAAAGACCTTGATGAATTAAAGAGGGTGTGCGTTCAAGGAACTACAAGAAGGTCATGTGGCTAGAGCACAGCGAACAAGAGGGGCCAGCCTAAGATAGAGAGGTGGGCTCCCGCCAAATCATGTAGAGCCTCACCACCACGCTGAGCATTTTGTATGATGTCAGAAAGACAGGGAGGACCTACGGAAAAAAAAAATTAAGCAAGAAAGGGAGCTGATTCTATTATGTTTTTAAATGATTAACTTTGGCCACTGTGCAGACATTGGATTGGAGAAAGGCAAAAACAGAGGAAAGCAATTCAGTTAAGAAATAGTCCAGGCAAGGGATGGTGGTGGCTTGGATGCGGAGGCAATGGTGGAGACAGGGTGGACTTGACATATAATCTTGGGCTGTCCTCATGTGTCTGTAATCGGCTGTGATATGTAGTGGGGTACCTGTGGCCTCGTGTCTCAACTACACAGACATATTAATTTCTGCATCTCCATTCTAAACAAACTTACTTTATCGGGGTCCCATTGTTTCTCCAGGAGAATTTTGGGGCGGCATTCCATATGATCCACCTCTGACCCACTGGAAGTACTCACACATCCTTTGCCCTCACAAGCTTTTGCAGTGCAGGCTTTCCCCACATGGCATCATTCCCCTGTAGGCTGACAGAGCTGCTGGTTGCCCACATCTCTCACCATTGACTTCCCCAGGCATTGTATGGCCACACCATGTGTCCCACAGACTCTAGAAGGCAGGGGTCAAGCTTTCTAAATAGTATCCTTGAAGTCCTTCTCAGTAGGTTTGAGGAGAGAAGGAAGCACTTCCGTCCTTCCCACTATGGTAGAGGGATGAGGGTGAAACTAATAGTTCTTCAGCAACTTACAAAGAAATCCTCTTTCCAACCTCTCACCTTTCTCTTTTTGTAGTTTTCTTGAGGGGGCTGGTCAGCTAAGAGCTGTGAAAGTCATTATGGCACACCTTACTTTGGTATGTCAGAGCAGTTGGTGCTTCTTGTCCTGCATACTCATGTCCTAGCCTCCATGGAGACACAAAACATTCCATTTTAACTTCCTTTTCTAGCCTCCATCAAGTTACTTTCTAAAACGATGAATACAGGTACCCAGTACCACTACCATCTTCCTAAACCTCTTAAACATCACTCCCTTGTCTGTTCTCCCCAATGTCCCTCTATCACCCCAGCCTTGGTGCAGCAATGCAATTCCCAGGATGGCTCCCTGCCTTCCGCTCCTCCTCTGCCTTCTTTTGTCTCACCCCATTACGGTACCCTGTCCCAGAAAGTTAAGTGACTCCTGCTTTTTGCAGCAGGGTTTCATTGCTACCCACCCCTCCTCGTCTTTCCCCAGCAGGGGCTGGTGTCTGACTGATCCCTGCCTCCCACTTTAGAATATCATCAGCCTTGCTCTCACACAGACCCTGCTGCCCACCATCCCCACCCCCCGCCCCGCATTGGTCACTTTCCTGAGAGTTTGCCCAACAGCTCAGACTCTGTGCTGGGAAGATGGGTGAAAATTGGTGAAATATCGGACTTGGACTACCCAGTAATTCATACAGAAGAGCAGAAATTAGTCACCTATATGAAGGGCAAAGAAAGTGGAATTTGCTAGCATGAATTGAGGGAACAAAGAAAGTGGAAGAGGCTGAAGTTTTCTGGAGCAATTAATAGGCAAGGAGGAGGGGAAAACCAGAGCTGATACCTTTGCTAGAAAATGTGGGAGAGGGTAGAAGAATCTACCATAGCATTTTGTCCATTTTGCAGACTTCATGCAAAAGTCACAGGAAAGAGGAACTACCTGGTTATGAAAGCATCCTATTTTTCAGTGATTTAAGACTAAAAAAAAAAAAACCAAACCCATTGCCGTCAAGTCGATTCTGACTCATAGTGACCCTATAGGACAGGGTAGAACTGCCCGGAAGAGTTTCCAAGGAGCAGCTGGTGAATTTGAACTGCCGACCTTTTGGTTAGCAGCCTGAGTTCTTAACTGCTATGCCACCAGGGCTCCAATTTAAGACTAGTCACCAGAAAAAGGCAGGCTGTATCCTAACCAGAGTTCACTGTGTGCCTGACAGGAACCAACGCTAAGCATGGACTGCGCTGCAAGGCCTGTAAGATGAGCATCCACCACAAGTGCACGGATGGCCTAGCACCCCAGCGGTGTATGGGCAAGCTGGTAAGGGCTCATGCTGGGAGAGAGCCCAGAACGTCCTGCTCTGGTGACATCATGCTCTCCAAAGTCCTTCCCTGCAGCACGCTGAGAACTGGCCACCAGGAAGGCAGCCCCAGAATCCCTGACCTGTCAACCTGGCTTCCTAGTCCACATAAGTAATAGAGCAGAGGGAGGGATTTGTCAACCTAATTCTCACATGTGAAAAGGACTCAGGGTCTTTAATATGGTGGCCAACTTGTCCCAAGCTGGGACTTCCCCAGTTTTAGCACTTGAAGTCCCTGCTATCCAGTCCTGAAAGTCCTACGTCTTGGGAACCCCCTCAGTCCCAGGCAAAATGACAGTTGGTCACTCTAGTCCTTATTGGCTATCAACTGAATGAGTGTCAAGGGTGGGATAGAGCCGACCACAAAAATGGAGAGAGTAATAAAAATCTACACCACTTTAGCAGAGGCATGATGGTCAAACCAAAGGATATTGGATAGCCCTGGCCTGTTATGGGCCAACAGTGTCATCTCAAGAGTGTGGACTTCAGTACTGGTGACACACATTGGAAAAAAGCAATCCAGAGCACTTTTGAGGGTGTTTGAACCTAAGATGGCCAAAAAATTGTAGAAGGGACCAGGAATGTTAACCTTGGATAATACTTAGGACACAACAACTCTCTCAAAAAAGTTAAGACTTGTCACACAGAAGGGAAATTCAAATGTCCTTTGTGGCTCCAAGGAGAAGACCTAGATCTGTAGGCACTAAGTCTTAACATTCAGAGGTAATGTCCCCAAAGATCTGCCTCCAGGGTGAGTGAGTTCCCCATCACTGACAGTGTTCAAACAAAGGAGGACACCATTTGACAGGAATGTTGGAGAAGATTCTGGAATTCTAGTAGGGACTGGGCTACAGACCACTAAGTTCCCTTCCAACACTAGGTTCTTAGAGAGTCCATCTCCTTACCGTTACTGGCAATTTCCTTTTCTCTCAAACCTCTGCCTCACCTGCTCCCCTCTACCTCTTCCAATGGTGATTCCCATGTTCCAAAGCAAAGACAATGAATGAGAGGTCAGCAAAACAGAGAGAGAGCAGAGTCCGCAACACAAAACAAATGATTCAGAATAAAGCTCTTCAGATATACAAGGGCCTTTGGGTCTACCGCCAAGGTCTAGTTTCCCATGCCTGGGCCTTTTATGATTTTAATAAACCCCAATAATAAAATGTAGTGATTAATGCATGACAATCTTTTTGTATCCTGGGAGATAATGAGGAAACCAGACACAAAGGAGTTTGCAGTAGGCCGCAGAAGGAGGAGAAGGAGGGTAGAGAAGGGCAGGGCCAGGAGCTTGCTTTCTGGATGGAGCATACCTTGCTTATTGTGACCTGTATCTCCCCAACAGGGATAAACTATAGAACAAGTCATCATCTTAAAGGGAGGCAGGGAGGTGCCTCTGGAGAAAAGAACTGGTTTATTTTAGAGTCTTGTGTTGTTTTCTGCATCTGGTTAGTAACACTAAGCCCTTCTCTTTCTCATTCTCTCTCCAGCCAAAGGGATTTCGGCGTTACTACAGCTCTCCCTTGCTCATTCATGAACAGTTTGGATGCATTAAAGAAGTTATGCCCATTGGTGAGTTGGGACACTGATGGGTTTAGCTGGGTTTTCAGCAGCAATGTCAGCATTAATGGCTGTTGTTCTTCCAGTCCTGCAAAACCAGTGGAATGTCTTTGTGTGTTTGTTTGTTGGCTCTTTGGTTTTTGATTATTTGTTTGTTTTGCTGGATGCAAAGCATGCCATGGACCAAATTCTCCAGGAATCTTCATTATCTCCCTGATGAAGCTCCATAAACACCGAAGTCCAAAAAGCAATTCGTACCCTATACCATCCGTCAGCAGCATGGTAGACTGGAAAGAGGATGGGGGGTGGCATCCCATAGACCTGGTTTATAGCCCAGCCCTTCCGTTGACCAACTATGTGTCATTGAACAAGTTACTCAGCTTGTCAGACCCTATAAAATGAGGACAGTGATATCCATATTTCATAAATGTAAAAATAAATATAAATCACAGATCAATGTTTGGTAGGAATTCAATGAATATGTTACTCCTTAATGAGGACAAAACACATGTCCCATATTTATAGATGTTTCTGGCTTGGAAAATCTCTACATCTATTTTTGCTTCTTTGGGGGTAATTTTTAGACTGGCAAGTTTTATGGTAATGTTTTAATTAGAAGTTCATGAGACCTGGTGATGCCAAATTCTTTTGAAGACACTTGCCTACTAGTGCAAACTCTGTCTCAGGCTTCTTGCCTTGGTAAGCAGAATTTCTCACAGAGGAAATAAAGCTGGTCTCTGGAAAGAACCTTAAAATTGGACCCCTAGAGATGGATAATCACAGAAGAAAACCAGTCGGGAAGAGCTTGGGAGCAGAGAGATCTTGTTGGAAGTGTGAGGTACATTAGAGGGTCTTGGCAAATGGCAGCATGTTGAAGGGACCCATGTAAGTAAGAAAAGCTTGACCACAAAGTCCCCATTTTTCCAGGGCCAGTTGGGTCTACTGCACTGAACCTATTTCCCAGGTGCTGTTAACTCAGGAGACAGGTTGGTTGGGTTCCTGGCAGGTCGTTGAGGAGACCTTTGTCTCAGATGAGCTTTCTCTTCTGTTGCAGCCTGTGGCAATAAGGTGGACCCTGTCTACGAGACCCTCCGTTTCGGCACCTCCCTGGCCCAGAGGACGAAGAAGGGCAGCTCCGGCAGTGGCTCTGATTCTCCTCACAGAACCTCTGTAATTGTCCTCTCCCTCCCTCGTTTCTGCCCACGGTGGTCTCAGGCAGGGCAGGTGGCTTAGGTACTGCTGCTATAACAGAAATGCCACAAGTGGGTGGCTTTAATGAACACAAATCTATTTCCTCACAGTTTAAGAGTCTAGAAGTCTGAACTCAGGGCACCGGCTCTAGGGGAAAGCTCTCTACCTGTCCACTCGGGGGGAAAATCCTTGTCTCAGCTTCTTTTGTCTCACTTTTATATGTTGTCTTCTCCATGAGTCAGAATCAACAACTACATGTTGTCTTAGCTATCTAGTGCTGCTATAACAGAAATCCAACAAGTGCATGACTTCAAAAAACAGACATTTATTTTCTCATGGTTTAGGAGACTGGAAGTCCAAATTGAGGGTGCTGGCTCTAGGGGAAGGCTCTCTCTCTCTGTCAGCTCTGGGGGAAAGTCCTTGTCTCTTTTCAGCTTCTGTTCCTCAGTTCCTTGTCAATCTTCATATGGCCTGGCATCTATCTTCTCCTATCTGGGCTTGCTTGCTTCTGTGCCTAATCTGCTCTTTTTATGTCTCAAACATGATTGGTTTAAGACACATCCTACACTGATATGACCTCATTGACGTCACAAAGAAAACTCTAATCCCAAATGGGGTTACATCCACAAGTATAAGAGTTAGGATTTACAAAAAATATTTTTGGGAGATACAATTCAATCTATAACATGTGTCTTATCCTATTTTATGAAGAATATGTACATAATGTATGTGTGTTAAAGACACTGTAATAATGATGCCATATGAGTGCCGAAGGATTTGATAATAAGATGGAAAATGTTGACCTTCGGTAGGCATTTGCCTCAAAACGGTGAAGGTGTAATCTGTGATATTTTAAGGTACTGGCATGCTGATGATCTCCCCAGGGAGGCTGTAAATCAAATCGGCAGTCCGAATGGTAATGGTAATTCATTTTCTAAAGGAAGGATAGAAATGGTTCTAAATGTGGTGAAGAAAATACGAAGTGCATATGGGTAAGGTTTGTATTTGTGTTAATGTGTTATGGCTGTGTGCACTGGATAATAATAACATGGAAAATTTCTAGCACAGGGCCTGGCATAAATGACACCCAATAAATGGAAGTTGTCGCTGCTCTGTTTTCATTAAGCATCTAAGCCTTAGCTGGGTTTTCTTTGAACTTAAGTTGTTGTGAAGTTAAACAACGTTATAACCTATTAACAAGGCAAATGGGTTATCTGAGAAGAGCTTTTCCTGAAGCCTTAAAGAGCCCGCCCGTTCTCAGGCTCTGTCAGAAACCCCTGACTTCGTCAAGGATTCTGCTCTGCTCTTCTCCTGGCTGGCCTGTCTCTTTTTCTGATGTATCCTCCAGTCACTCTGTAAAAACGGCTTGGGGGCAGCATCTGACCTCCTCTAACTTCACAAGGGAGGAGAATCAAGACCAACAGCCCAAGGCTGATCCCTGTGAGGCTGAGGTCAGACACGTCTCCTCTCTCCACCACCTTTACCAACTCTGTCACCAACTGTCCCCCCCACCGCACTCTCTACTTCTCTGCTGGGTTCAGTAATTCATTGCAATGGCTGCACAGTACTCAGAGACCATAGTCATGATTATGGGGTTCATTAGGGAAGTAACAGGTTACAATTCAGGCTCAGGAACGCTCAGATACAGTTCCTCCATCAGGACAGCTTGCAAACATGTCTCTCCCTGGCCCTCAGTCTCTGCCCAAAGGCACTCAACTTTCTCTCTCCGTGGACCAGGAAGCCCACCGCGCCATTTTTTGCTGCCGGGTCTCTGTTGCTGGGTCTCTCCTGTGGGTTTCTCCTTCCTTTGTGGTGGTGGGCTCTTCTCTCTCCAGCCTCTGGGATGGCTCATTTCAAGCCCAGCAGAATGGCAAAACTGACCAATCCCTTTGGTGGGCCACAATTACCATATCACACAGTCCCACCCTATCACTTGGGTGGGTGTTACAAGACCATGGCTAGAAGGCCACACACAAAAGTGATCTATCACACCACATACCCCTTAAATTGTGGTGTTGCTGGGGGTCTGCCCTTGCTTGGTTTTCTTGTTGGACATGTTCTTCCTGGTTGATCTTTTTCACATTCCTCCTCTCCAACCACCATCTCTAAGCGGACGACCCCCTTAGCTATCTCCAGTCCTAACCTCAAGCTCCTCACCAGTCCTACAGATACCTCATAATTAACATGTCCACCTAAGCTATGTCCAGCTGGTTATTAGGTCCTGTAGTTCAGAACTATGGGGCCCTCTTCTCTGCCATCAGTACTGGAGATGCAGATCATTACACCAGCACATCTCATGCAGATTTTTATAAAGGAATAACTGTGCTGCCCTCTTCTTTTTGATTCCACCCTTAGCAATACCTCTAGATTTATCCACCTTTAAAGAATGACCTCAGGCAACTTTTGTAATTAAAATACTTTATGGATTCACTTATGCCTAGTGGACAATGCCCAAGCTCTAGCCTGGCATATCAGGCCTACCCAACCTGACAGTTACTCCCATTTACCCTAAAGATCAACATTCCCATGAACTCACCCAGCTTTTTGACATCTCCATATCCTTGAACACGCTGTTTCTTCCAGTTGAAATTCTTTAAGACTCAGCTTAGTTTTTATATAAACCATGAAGAGCTCCCTGGCTCCCCCAGGCTTAGTGAAATGCTTCTTCCTCAAGCCTTCAAAGAGCCCTCTCTTGTAGTAAGTATGTCTACCACCTGTCCGTCAGTTTGCCATACTGTGGTGGTTTGCATGTTCCTGTGATACTGGAAGTTATGCCACCGGTGTTTCAAATACCAGCAGGATCACCCAAGGTGGACATGTTTCAGCGGAGCTTCCATATTAAGACAAACTGGGAAGAAAGGGCCGGAGATCTACTTTCAAAAATTAGTCAGTGAAAACTCTATGGATCAAAACAGAACATTGTCCGACTCACTTGCTTTGGACACATCATTGGGAGGGATCTGTCGCTGGAGGAGGACATCATGTTTGGTGAAGCAGAAGGCCAGCAAGGACAAGGTAGACCCTCAGTGAGATGGACTGGCCCAACAGCCACAATGATGGACTTGAACATGCCACAGATTGTGAGGATGACACAGGGCCAGGCAACGTTTTGTTCTGTTGTATATAAGGTCGCCGAGAGTCAGAGGTGACTCGATGGCAACTAACAAGAAGAAGTATTGTAATCATTGCATTGGAATGATTCCTGTTTGCCTCTCGTTCCTGAACTAGATCCTGAGCAACTATAGGTCAGGAGCCTGTTCTTATTCATAGTTTTATCACCAGATCCTAGCGTGGTGCCTGGCACATTGGGAAATGCTTGAAGAATGAAGGAAGACCTAACAAGGGACACTCAAAGTGACCTTAAAACTCTGAGAGATCTACCCTGCACTTCATTTCTCACACCCTAAGCTCCAGCATGGAGCCATGGTGGCGTAGTGGTTAAGAGCTCACCTGCTAGTCAAAAAGTCAGCAGTTCGAATCCTCCAGCCACTCCTTGGAAACCCTATGGGGCAGTTCTACTCTGTCCTATAGGGTTGCTATGAGTCAGAATGGACTCCCCAACAACAGGTTTGGTTTTTTTGGTTTGAAGCTCCTGCACAGTTTGCGGTTCTCTGCATTGCCCTGTCTTGGCCCTTGCATCGCCTCTACCTGTTTGCAGACAGCATCTCTCTGAGCTTCATGGTCTGGGTGGGGCATCCCTTCCATTGGCTTTCATAGTAGCCAGTTTGTTAATTACAGTAATTTGCATATTGCTAGGTAATTTTCACTTTTTTGTATCATTTCTCTCCCTCTTCTTCAACCTTCTCCTCAACTAGATTGAGCTACTTGAATGCAAGCACTCACTCTTTGTTCACATCTTTTTATTCCTATTACCTTGTGTCGGTGATTCCCAAACTCTGGTGAGTATCAGAACCCACTGGAGACTTTGGTAAAATAGAAAGGCCCAGGCCTTGTTTGACTTCAGCAAGCCTGGACCTCTGTGCTCTTTATTAGCTCTCCAGGTGATTCGGATACACACCAAAGTTTGCAGACCACTGGCCTATACTGTAGATTCCCACGAAAACTGTAGTGAATGAATGAATGCATGGACCTCCTCTTCAGTCAAATGCTCTAAATATCTCAAAAGGGTCCAAGCTCTCAATGAGTGAAATCAGAGGTTCCCAGCGTGTGGTCTCCTGCTCAGCAGCATCGCTTCATCTGGGAACTTGTTAGAAATGCAAATCCGGGTTTCTCACATCGGACTTACAGAACTGGAAAATCTGGGAAGTGGGGTCCAGAAATCTGTGTTTTAACAACTCCCTGCCCAGGTGATTCCAGTGCTTTCCAAAGTTTGATAAACACTGGATTAAAGTAGGGATTTAAGTTCATTTGTTCCCAAGGCATCAACCCCGACAGCCGCCTCCTCTTTCATTCTCAGTCTCCCTTACTGCTCCCTCTCTCTGTAAATACCTTTTGAATCACAGATTTACGGTGGCCACCAGGTTGGATCTGAAGTTTGGAACAGAGACTCAAGAATGCGAAGCATACCTCTAACCCCACATACCATGCTGTGTCTTCTTTCTTAGGCCAGTGAGAAAGGCCATTGCTACCCATGAGTTGCTCCCCCAAAAGGCGCATAGCATTGGCTCTCAGCCTGCAGCCATCCAGCCTTACCAGTCAAGACTTCTTGGAGATGCCACCACCAGCCTGAAAGGAAAAGCACAAATAGCTGGCCGGAGCAGAGAGACCTCTGTCCAATTTGACCTACAGCCTGAGCAGCTTTTTCCGTGTCTCTTGTGAGAGCCAGTATACCTCACCCCATTCCCAGGGCAAGCATCCCTCAGGCTTGTGTGAGGCTTGCGTTGGTGGAAAGGCAAATGAAAAGCCAGCCCAGAGATGCAAGACCACAGAGCAAGCTCGGCAGAGATGACCTTGACTCGTCCACATCACAGTAAGCAGCTGCTCCTGCTGTTCTGAGTTCTGCTCAGGACTCAGAAACAGTCCACAATGGTCAATGAACATCACAGCCTCCACATTTATTATGGCTGCTAAGCAACCAGCCAGTGAAAACCCTATGGAGCACAATAGTTCAATCTGCAACCAATCGTGGAGATTGCTCAGGACCAGGCAGCGTTCCGTTCATCGTGCACGGGGTCACCATGAACCAGGGACCACCTCCGCGGCATCTAACAACCACAAGCAGCAGCAAGACCATCGGAGAGACAGTTCGCTTTTGTTTCTTAAATAGCTTTATTTAGAGCTTTAGGGGCAAAAACCACGGTCTTCTGAACATCAGCCAGGTGTCCATTCATCACAGTCCAGTTATTCTGGCACCGGTAACATCAGTGAATATTTATTGCAGTTTTGCTCTGTGAAGGCATTGTTCTGTGAGCTGCAAGAGACAAAGACAAATCAAAATGTACTTAAATATCTCTCTCTTCACTGTCTCTCCAGGGCCCACCTTGCCTCAGTAGAAGAAAACAAACACAATTGATTAGGGCTTTAAAATGATTTTGTTTCCTTCCTGCAGGGTCAGTTGGTAATGAACTTCAGCATCTTGCCATTCTTCTAGTATTGTTATGTCCTACAGCTAACATTACCCCACATAGCAAAGCTTTGTCCCACAGGCTCATTTCTTCCAGGGCTGTAGAGACACTCTGCTGACGTTGGGAAGCTGCTGCTGGCTGCTTCTAAATCGTTGTTGTCTTTAATGTGCTTTTCAAAGGTTCTGGAATATTTGATGTTCTGGCTGGATGGCTTTGGGAAGGCCAGGAGAAACAAAATTCAAAAACTTTCAAGGAGTCTGTTGGCTAGTTTACAAGTAATCTTCAGTTCCATAAGATTAATATAAGTGAAGTTCTCTGCCAAGTAACTTTTGTGCAGACATCGTGAGCTTCAAAGGAGCAGGGAATGAGTGACTTAGATGCCCTGTGCCATTTTTTTTCTTCTTTCTGGTGTGTTATGAAAGCAAGAAGGGCTGAAAAAAAAATCTTAAAGCTAAATTGTAACAAGAATCAGTCTCTGGAGGGTGGTGCCAAAGTGCTCTAGAGCTGACTAGCAGAGAGCCAGGGAGGCAGATTTGTTCCTCTCTGATACAGCTTTTTTTTTAAAACTTGACTCTTCTCTGAGACCTCCTAGTTGCCCTTTTGAAGAGGCTGTAGCAGCTCGCCCTTTGAAAAAGGCCATCAGTGGTGTGCCAAAAAATGCTTAACCACCTGCTGGGGCAGGACCCTGGTTTGTAGCATGTGCCAATTGCCCTGGTGTAAATATTCCCACCACTGCCAATTTCAAGCTACCTACGTGATATAACACTGGAAGCTCTCGCTAGCCAATGTGATCTGCTCCAGCACCACTGGATGAAGCGCAGTGCTTGAGAGCACAGACTGGAGAACCAACCCCTGGGGTTCACAGCCCCAGCTCCACCACTTCTGAGCTGCGGGTCCTCCAAGAGAGCTATTGACTCCCCCTGGGCTTCAGATTCCTATATGAAAAAATACATCATACGATTACAGAGCCCTGGTGGGGCAGTAGTTAAGAGCTGGGCTGCTAACCACAAAGGTCAGCAGTTTGAATCCACCAGCCACTCCTTGGAAACCCTATGGGGCAGTTCTACTCTGTCCTGTAGGGTCACTACGAGTCAGAATTGACTCGACGGCAACAGGTTATTTTGGTTTGGTTTATTAGCTATTTAAAGTGCGGTTAAGTCCTGGGTGGTGCAGAGTTAACATGCTCAGCTGTTAACCAAAAGGCCGGAGGTTTGAATCCACCCATAAGGCCCCTGAGAAGAAAGGCCTGGCTGGAAAAAGTCAGCCATTGAAAACCCCATGGAGTGCAGTTCTACTCTGACACACGTGGGGCCGCCATGAGTAGGCGTAGACTCCACGGCAACTGGTTTTGCTTTATTGTTATTATTATTGTTGTTGCTATTATTATCATTATTGTTAATTCTGTAACCTAGTGGAGGAAAGATTATGACTTGCAAAGAAGAAGAATGAGTATTTTTTTTAAAATTGATTCTGGCAGCATTTAAAACAGCATTTAATTTTTATCTAGGTAATCCATCCCTTAATTATACATCTCATTCTCTAGTATTAATTTTTTTTTGAATCATCTGTAGAAAGAGCTCTAGTTTTACTGAGAATTTTAAGTGACAGGACGTGAGCAGTAATTCTGACTTCTCTCTGTTGCCCACCCCTGGTAAGCGGCCTACATGGGGCCTGAGCGTCTAGGTATCCAGTCAACGCTCGTTAAGTACCCATCCTGTGCCAAGGCCTGTGCCTGTCACAGATGCTCGAAGGGAGGCACAGTGCCCACAAGGGAACAAACAGCCTCTCTGAAATTAGCCAAGCAGAAAAGACAGCAACAACTGAATTCTCAAGACGGGGTCATTGCACATTCCACCTTAGCTCTTCTACTGACATCAAAAATCTCTGCCCTCCTGGCCCGCTGATAGAATCTTGCTCATTCTATGTTGTTTTCTCTTTTCTCTCAGACGTCAGATCTCGTGGAAGTTCCTGAAGAAGCTGACGGACCAGGAGGCGGGTACGACCTAAGAAAACGCAGCAACAGCGGTGAGTGAGGGAGCGGGGAGTCAGGCACTGTCCCAGCACAGGTGTGAACCCCATTAACCATCAGGGTCCTCACTCTGGAATTCAAGCTGGGCCAGTGTTCAGCGCTCTGGAGGGGAACTGGCCCCAGTTTGTAGTCAGTTTCAGGGATTTGAACAGAATATTCTCAGCCTGTCTCTTGGTTTCTCAAACCTTATCGACTTATCTCTATTGGGGCGTAGGAGTCACTTCCAGAACTTCTTGTTATCACACCATTTTCTCCACTGACCTAGGTTAGATTAGCAAACCGTACCACCGAAAAAAACAAAAACAAACCCAATGCCATCAAGTCGATTCCAACTCATAGCAACCCTATAGGACAGAGTAGAACTGCCCCATAGGGTTTCCAAGGAGT